TGGTAGCCTAAACAGAGGAGGTATTCACGCATAGAAAGTGGGCATTGCAGTCTGGACATTACAGACATTTATTGCCTATCCCTAGTTGCTCTTGAGAGGATGTTGATGAGCTGCCATCTTGAAATGCTGCAGTCCATGTGCTGTAGGTGGACCCACAATGCCCTTAGGGAGGCAATTCCAGGGTTTAGACCAAGCGACAGTGAAGGAACAGTGATACACTTGCAAATCAGTGTGGTGAGTGGGTTAGAGCAAAATTTATCGTTAGTGGTGTTCTCATGGATTTTCTGCCGTTGTCCTTCTAGATGGAAGTGGTCATTGGTTTGAAAGATGTTGTCTAAGGAACTTTGATGAATTTCTGTAGTACATCTTGTATATGGTACACAGTACAGCTGTTGATCATTGGTGGTAGAGGATGTGAATGTTTGTGAATGCAGTACCATTGAAGCTAGCTGCTTTGTCATCATTGTTTTCAGGCTTCTTGAGTGTCATTGGAGCTGCACTCATCCAAACGTGTGGGGAGTATTCCATCATTCTCCTGACTTTTGCCTTGTCGATGAGGGACAGGCTTTGGGGAGTCAGGAGGTGAGTTAGTTGCAGCAGAGTACTTAGCCTATGTAAGGAAACACTAAACATTTTGGACAAATAAAATTATAAGTCGAAACATAAGAAATGGAGACATCCATGAACAGTGTAAAGATTGTCTATTGACGAAATGTTAAGTAGAATAGCTATGTATCTCTGGTGGATAGAAAAATGGAAGTTGATTTAATTGAAATCTATAACATTCACAGAATATTTGACACAAAGGATGATATGATGCCCTTGATATGATATAACACTCCCTTGGGTATAACTCTCAAACATGTCAGAATAATTGGTTGGTCATTTTAGACTGCGGTGGGGAGAATTGTAGCCACTCAGAAATTGTGAACTTTATGAAATTTGAATAAAGAGTGCTGAAGCTGCTCAATTATGGAGTATATTCAAGGCTGAGATCGATATAATTTAGACTTTAAATAAGTGAAATAGGAAAGGGGAGGTGGTGTAGAATGTCTGTTAATAACTTATTGACGGGCAGAGTAAAACTGAAGAGTTATGTGGTGAACTTCCACTCCCATTAATTTATGTCTTTCTGAGTTTGTACTTGTAACTAAAGAAAAAAAAAAACTATTATTTATGAGCCAGTACATCGCAAGTTTACAAGATCAGAGAGCCAATGCACTTATTTTATCATTGCTGGACTATTAACATGGAGATATGGGCAATATGCTGGAGACTCAACTTTAAATCCTGCAGATAGTGGAAAAATCATTCAATTAAGAGTCGAATGATGACCACGAAACCTTTGCATGTTGTCATACCAGTCTGGTTCACGAGCGTCCTTTGGGGAAGGAAACTGCTGTTCTTACCAGTTCTGAGCAACACAGCGGCTCAGTGGTAGCAGTGCAGGCTCACAGCGCCAGGGGCCCGAATTAGATCCCAGTGAATTAGATTCCTGCGTGGAGTTTGCATGTTCCCCCTGTGTCTGTGTGGGATTCCGCCTGGTGATCTGGTTTCCACTGTCCAAAGATGAGTAGGTTCGGTGGATTAGCCATGAGGGAAAATGCAGGGTTACAAGGATGGGAATGGGGCTGGCAGGGATGTTTTTAGAAGGTCAGTGCTGATTTGGTGGGCTGAATGGCCTTTGTCTGTACTGTAGGGATTGTATGATTCTGGACGACATATGACTCCAGACCCACCATTTTATGGTTGATTCCGAACTGCCTGAAATTAATAATAAATGCTGGCCTATCCAGCAACGTGCACATACTACAAATGACTAAAACAAATGTTCTATTCTATTCTTTCGACTCCTTGAGGAAAAGAAATACACAACCAACTGTCGCCAAAGGCCTGCCAAAGCCCTATTTTGGTTCCATCAACACCAACACCTTAGCCAATGATGAAAATTCAGTCTCCATATCACTTCTCCATCACAACTAATAACCTTCCTCGAATACCTTGCCTTCAGCTTACAGAACATTTGGAATATACAACATGGAGGGTGGCCATTTACCTGATCTTTCTAGTGGTAAGTTTTTACACTCCATCACATTGCTGTCATATCCAATTCCCAACTTCTCACGGCTTGGCAATATTATCTACTGGTATCTATATATAATTACGCTTTGAATATTATTGCGGAGAAGCAGTAAACTGCTCACTCACACAGATCATCACAGCAATCTTCAACGTTAATCAAAGTACGCTCTTCATCTCACTCTTTGATTATTGATTAATTCCCTTTGATCTCCCCCTGTGCCTCATTATGCTTTTACTACTGGAAGCATTTCGTGCAATTCTGTAAAGGGCACCTTACTTTTCACTGTCTCAACGAGAATAACTCGACTAAATTCATTAACCTGAATTCAGGAATAGAATATGCTGTAGCCAACTTTGCCAAAGATCCTAAAATAGGTGTGAAATACAGTTGCAATAAGAAATCTACAAATGGAAGTGGATAGCTTAGATGAATGTGCCAATACTTAGCAGATGGAGATCAACGTGAATTCTGGGGTTAATCAGTTTGGTTGGAGTAAAAGAAAGGCAATTTATTGTCTGAAACATGGAATCCCTACAGAGCAGAAAGAAGCCGTTCAGCTCATCGAGTGTGCACTAATCCTCTGGAGCATCGAACACAGAGCCTGGTCTAGCCTGTAAATTTACATTTATCACATCTAATTCAGCTAATCTACACATCCCTGAACATGATAGCGCAACTTAGCATGACCAGTACACTTAAACTGCACATATTCAGGCATTGGGAGCATATCTACACAGACACAGGGAGAGCATGAAAATTCCTTCTAGACAGCCACCCAAAGCTGGAAATGAAACGAGGTCACTGGCACTGCGAAGCAGCAGTGTTAACCACTGCTCCACCATGCCAGCCATTAACGCAGAGAAACTTCAAAGTGCATTAGTGCAGAGGGACCTTAGGGTCTCCTCGTACATGAATCACAGAAAGCTAGTGTACAGCATAGCAGGTAATAAGGAGGGAAATTTGAATTTTGGCATTTAGTGCTAATATATCGGAGTATAAAAAGAGGGAAGTCTTGCTGCAACTGTAGAAAGCATTGGTTAGATCACATCTGGAATACTGCGTACAGTTCTGGTCCCCTTACTTGAGGAAGTATGCAATTGCATTGGAGGCAGTTCAGAGGAGATTTACTCGATTAATTCCAGAGGTGAAAGTTTTGTTTTATGAGGAGACATTAAGCAGTTTAGGACGATGCTGGCTTGAGTTCAGAAGATGAGAAGAGATATAATTGAGGTACGTTATGTGCTTAAAGGGATTGACAAAGTAGCTATAGAGAGGATGTTTCCTCATGTGGGGCAAGATAGAACAAGAACCGATAGTTTTAGATACAGACAGCAGACTTAAAACAGAGATGAGGAGGAGTTACTTCTCTAAAAATGTCGTGAGTCTGTGGAATTAATTTCCCCAGAGTGTGGTCCACGTCGGGACATTGAGTAAATTTAAATTTAAATATGCAGAAGTTTTTACATATGTATTGGAAATGGATATAAAATTTATGGGGATGTGTAGGAAAGTGCAGTTGCGGCCAAGATAAGATCAACTGTGCTCGTATCAAATGGCAGAGCAGGCTCGAGGGGCTAAATGGCCTATTCTTGTTCCTAGTTCGTGTTTTCAACTTCATTTAAATTTCACCTCCCTGTACCTATTCCAGTAGCTATCAGCTGTACCTTGTCCATAGTCTTGACATCCTTCCTAAAGTGTGGAATTCTATGGATGAGACTGGAAAAATCTCCTGGGAATTTTTTTCTTGACTATTTTGGTTTTGATTTCTACACCCTGGTTTATAACACTCAAGAACCTTACAAATTTCCAACAACATGATGAAATTGTCCTCCCAACTTCAATGACATGTGTGCACACTTACACTTGTATCTAGATGCATTTTAGAAACTGTACCAACTTATTTTTTTAATTTATAGGTTCTCATTCTTCCATCTAAGATGGATCACAAATAATTTGGTTCATTAAATTCTTTATGTCCATCCATTTTTACTTGTCCGTGCAATTCTGAAGGCTGTTACTTCCATCCACACCATTTACTGTGCCTTCGTCTTTTTTAATTAGTTGTAAGATGGATATTATTACACTCGTGATGATGCAAACAAGATTTACAAGAATGTCGCTGAGGCTGTATAGTTTGAGTTATAAAGATAGGTTGGATTGGCCGAGACTCTTTTTTTTTTCCCCTGGAGCCAAGTTGGTTCACGCCTGACCTTCTAAAGGTTTGCAAAATCATGTGGGGTGTAGATGAGGTGAAAAGCAAAGGTCTTTTCCCTAACGTAGAGGAGTTCAAAACTACAGACCATAATTTTAAAGTGAGAGGAGAGAGATTTAAAAGGAACCTGTAGGGTAACTTTTTTTTTTACACAGAATGTGGTTCGTATGTGGAATGAACTGCCAGATGAAGTGTTATATGCAGGATAGTTGCTATACTTAAAAGTACATTTGGACAAGTACATGAATAGCAAAAATTTAGAAGGATACGGGAAAAATATAGGCTAAAGGGATTAGTTTAGTTTGTGAAACATGGTCAGCATGTCTTTCCATGCTGTATGACTCTACGATTCTACATATTTGCAATTTCCTTCTGCAAAGCTTATGTAATTTCATTTTCCATCATCCATATCGTTACTTTCAATATGAATATGTTTACTGATTTTTTTTTTCATGGTTGCTTTTCCTCTATTAGTCTATTATAGTATTTCTATATATCCCACATTTCACTATCACACTCCGTAAAAAGGCATGAAGATGGCACAGAAATGTTGTCCCGCTCTTAAAATACTCGCACACGTTAATAAATCAATCATTTTTGACTCTGCCTATCCTTTTTAGGTCTATATATATAGCATTTACTTAAATGAAGTTTTCAGTACAAGTAAGCAAAATGTTAAACATCAAGTATAAAATGTACACCTACCACAGTGAAGTTGGTTGCAATTTGCATGAACGCTCGTAACCTTTGATTGAGCTCCAAACTATTGTTATCTCTTGGTATCTAAGACCTGACAACAAACATTCAGAGAAGCAAAACATTATCAAGATTTTGTGATGATAGGTGCTTTGTTGTCCTCAGGTGATTGGTCGTTATAGCGATAATCGATTGTCAAAAAAAGTTTGGAGGTTTTTATTATTGCGTACCCATGGTGTGAAAATGAGCATCAAAAGAAAAAAAAGAAACCCACTAGACGTGCTTGCAAGTTGTTTATGGTTTAGATAACTGTGCCTTGCAGTCTATGAACAAGGTGTTTTATCGATTGCTAACACTGAATTTAAGAGCATTAGAACCAAGACGAAGAGTCATCAATTCAGCCCTGAATTACCAGCTGCCCCTGCATAATAGTTTCCAGCGATTCATGCACGAGGATACCCAGATCCTTTTGCATTGCAGCACTGTGACTTTTCTCTCTATTTAGATATTAATTTGCCTTTCTCTTCCGCTGAACAAAATGGATAACCTCGCACATCTGCATTAAACTTCATCTGACATTATTTTTGGCCCATTTACTTAACCTATTCATATCGATTTGTAAATTTCTAATGTCTTCATTGCAACTTAAGTTCCCACCTATATTAGTGTCCTCGTCAAATTTGGCTCTCCGACTTTGTATTCCCATGTCCAAGTCATTCACATAGGTTGTAAGTAGTTAGGGCCACAGGACAGAATCCTCTGCACCCCAATAATTACACCTTGCCAAGCAGAAAAAAAGACCTATTTATTCCGACTCTCTTTTCTGTTGTTTAGGTAATACATTGACCAATCACTCTGTGTGTGTTTAAAGTGTGTGTTCTGATAAACACTGAATGCAGGAAAACAATTCCCTGTTAGATGTCTGGATTGAACTCTTAAACTTCAAATCTAACGTTGATCTTGCTTTTTGTACACCTTCTTTGCAGCCGTAACGTTGTATTTCTAGCTCTGTTTAATCACGCTGTAATTTTTGCATCTTTGTATGTTATGCTCTGCCTGTACCGCATGCGAGACAAAACTTGTCACTCTACGTATGTCCATGTGATAATAACAAATCAAGTCAAATCAAAAATTTCCTGGGCTTAATTCAAACACAGGGACTCATGTCAACAGATTGTCTCCTTTCCTGACTGCAGTATTGCTTTAAAACTGCTCCTGTCTAATATTTGGAACAAAAGCAGAAAGCGCTGGAGAAAGTCAGCATGTCTAGCTGCATCTGGGGAGAGAAAGTAGAATGAATGTTTTGGGTCCAGTGACCCTTCTTCAGAACTCTGCACTCTAGTCACTGGACTCCAAACGTTCACTTTGCTTTCTTTTCATAGATGCTACCAGACCTGCTGAGTTTCTCCAAAAAGTTCTGGTGTTATTTCAGATCTTCGTCATCCACAGTTCTTTGTTTTAGTTACTCTTGAATATCTCCCAGATATATTGAAATTCCAGGTTTTAACTCTGATTCGCTCTCTGACCATTTGAGTGTTATGAGCTTTCTCTTTTATTACCTGATTTAGAACAAAGTCACCTTATACTTTTAGTCCAATCTTTAACACTGGGGTAAATTGAAGGCTTCAATTGGTTGGCTGGACCATGATGCACTGATATCAAGAGTGGAGTTCAATTCCCACTCTGGCTGAGGTTACTGTGAAAGATTCTCCTTCTCAACCTCTTGTTAAAGACCAGACTGAACCCCCTTAAAATAGTTAGAAGAAACTCTAAACACAAACGTATTCTTATTTTTAAGGTCAACGTAAGGTGTTGCTTTCCAAACGCTTACGAGACTGAGGGGTGACCTTATAGAAGTTTATAAAATCATAAATGGCATAGATAAGATGAATAGCAAGTGTCTTTTCCCTAGGGTGAGGAGTTCCAAACAATGGGGCATTATTTTCAAGATGAGGGGAAATAGTTTTAAACAGGACATTAGGGACAACTTTTTTTTACACAGTGTTGTTCGTGTAAGGAATGAACTGCCAGAGGAACTGATAGATACAGGTATAGTTACAACATTTAAAAGGCATTTGTATAAGTACATAATAGAAAATGTTTAGAGAGGTATAGGCCAAATGCAGGCAAGTGGGAAGAGTTTGGTTTGGGAAAATTGTCGTTATGGATGATTTGGACTAAAGGCACTATTTCCATCTTGTGTGAGTCTAAGCCTCTGTGACTATAGGACTACTACAGATGTTTTTAGGTGTCAGCAAGCTATTTATCCTTACTGTGTGAAGACAGTGTTTATTGAAACCACTGAGCATTTGCACTCTTCACCCCGATTATACAGGAAAACACCCCATTCATTCTGTCCATCTCTCTTTCTTCCACCTTACACCCCATTCCTCAGTCTGTTCTCCCGGGGTACCAAAAAGAGAGTTTTGGTAGATTGAGGATACAGGAAGTGAGGAAGGAGAGGTAGAAGAATGCAGAATGTGCGATAGGGTTGGGATAGAGGGCTCAGAGAATGTTAAGGTACAGAAAGATAGATAGAATGAGTGAGGAGAAAGACAGTGAAAATGTGGAGTAGAAAGTTAACGAGAATGTGTGGGGAAAGTGATAGCAAGAATGGGAGTGGGAGAAAGATAGCAATAATACGGGGTCGAGGGGGGGAGGTGTAGAACCAAAGCGAGAATGAAGGTGGGAGAAAGATAGATGGAGAGAGAAAAGCGTGAGAGAAAGACAGAGGGGGAGAAAAGTAGAGTAGACTGAGGGCAAAACAGTATACCAAGTGGGTAACTTGCTGGTGGGAGAAACAGAAGGTAGGAGTGAAAGGAAGATGCCCTGTGTCTGATGTTTTAACACTATCGAAAGACAGATTGGATTTTGTAAATTCATTTTGGGCCTTCATTGTTGTGAAAGATCTGATTAAAGTTGCTTTTGAAAATTAAAAAGTAATTTCTCTTTGACATTGTTAACAGTTATGGTGTCAGGCTTTCGAAGTCTAAAATAGATAGGCAATTCTTTCAACCATTTTAGAAATAACTATCTCCAATCCCCCTTGAAAGTCATTATCGACTGAGGCGTTAGATTCCAGATCCTTATTACTCACTGAATGTAAAGATGTTTGCTGTTGTCAAATCTGGTCCCTTTGTCTCTCAATTTAAGCTTCCATCCCCTGGTTCTCCCCTTTGAAGCAACTGGCAATGATTTATATAATAAAAACGAAGCACTGTAGAGAGTCTGTGTGTAAAACGTTTGAGTGTGCGTCTCTGAGAGTGTGTCACCTAACAAGTGGATGGTCAAGCTCAGGAAAGTCAAAACTTGAGGACTGAAAGCGACAGACTAGTGCCACATGAGTGCTTCAGATAAATAAATATACAGAAGCAGGCCAAATGGCCCAAACCTACAATGCTGGCATGTGATCATCCTTACAACTCTCTTCACCCACTTTCTTAGCATATCTTTTATTTAATTGCCATCAACAGATGGAGACCATAATACGGGACAAGGTAATTATACACTTGGAGAAAAATAAGTTAACCTTATACAGTCAATGTGCCTTTGTCAAGGCCAGGTCATGATCTTTAACAGATGGATTAGAAGTCAGCTAGTTAGGTATATATGGGCATTTCTCAGACTGGAGACGAGTGAAGCGGTGTTCCCCAGGGATTTGTGTTGTTAATTTTGTTTTTTTTATGATTGATGTAAACAATTTGGAGATGGGTATTGAGGGTACAATTTATAAATTTGCATAACTGATACTAAGCTTTGGAGAATAGTGAATTGTGAGGATGTCACTGAGTGAGGTCAGAGAGACATTTAAAAATGCCCAAATGGGAAGACACCTGGGAAATGAATTTCAATGCGGTGAAATTTAAGGTAATACATTTTGGTATAAGAAACACAAGAGACAATATAGGGTCAATGGTAAAACTTTGAGAGGAATAAAGGAGCAGAGGGAACTCATGGTTCACATACGTGGTTCTCTGAAGGTGGCCAGGGAAGGTGAAACAGTTGGTAAAAAGTTTATAGGATACTTGACTTTATAAATAGAGGTACAAAGTGTAAAATAAGTAAGTGATGTTACACATCTACGAATCATTGGTCAGACCAGATTTGGAGAATTGTGTTGAATTCTGGGCATGTTACTTAAGGAAGGATGTTAAAACTCTGGAGGAGTTGCAAAGGAAATTCACCAGACTGATACCAGAAACGGAGGGTTCCAGGTATTAGGAAAACTCAGAGACATTGGGTTTATTCTCCACGCAGCAGAGAGGATTAACAGCTGACCTTATTGAAGTGTTCAAAATTATGATTCTTTTTTCAGTATAAAGAAGGACATTCTGTTTCTGCGAGTTGGTATGTCAGTAGGTAAAGGTCATAATTTCAAGGCTGTCAGCAAGAAAGCTAGGAGTGAGATGAGGAGAAACCTCTTTACTCAGAGAGTTATCAGGATTTGGAATCCACTGCTTGGGGGAGTGATGGAGGCAGATTCCACAGGAGATTTCTAAAGAGAACTGGATATATGTTTGAAAATGATTAAGTTAAAGAGCTGTGGAGATAGGGTTGGAGAATGGGATTAGTTCCTTCAAGAGTCGGTACAGACATAATTGGTCAGTTGGCCTCCTTCTGTACTGTAACATTCTATAATTCTATGATTTTTACTGCATCTGAATGCCCACAGAGTCGTGCAATGTTTACACCAGGTTAGGAGAGTATTTCCTGTGCAGCAGGTGGACTGCAGCGCTTCATGAAGGTGGAGCACCATTATCACAATCGGCAACTATGGAGAGGCATAAAATGATGGCCCAACCAGTTACGCCCACATTCCATGAATAAAAAACGATCCAGTTATTCTATTGTGTCAGCAAAAAATTCACAGAATGTTTACTTGACTAATACTTGAAAGGAACGGATTACCTTATGAGTAAAACTAGATAGGCTCAGCCTGTGTCCTTTGGAGTTTAGTAGGGTCATATGTGGCTGCAGTGAGTCTTTGGGAATCGTCTTTCTCAAAGGCGGGGTCGATTGATTCTTGATTCACAGAAAGATGAACGATTGTTAGAGAATATGCAAGAATGCAGAGTTGCGGTTACAATCAG